ATTTCTAGGGGGCGATTCTCGCATAGGCTGCATACCTCGTCTAGGTAAAAATGACAGAGAGGGGGGAGATTCATCATGAGTCTAATCTAATTTGCAAGCATCGAGATGCAATGTTTTACAGCTGCCTTTAACCTGAAGATTACGAGAAGACAAACAAATTTTAAAAAGAAACCGAGTGTGGTGATTGTGTGGAACTATGAGGTTGCTTTGTGGGTCAAAAGAATGTGCGATACCTTTAATTGCTGGACTTGAAAGTCATTGAGACTAGCAGTCATTTTACCTACTTCAGAAAATTGGTAGAAACAAAGAGGGAAAATGCGGAAGTCAGGGTGGATGACACTGGTAAATGGAAGTCCATGCACACATTGACTAACATCAAAGTTACATTTTGCAAATGGATAGCATAACTGGTAATATTTTACCCATGTCGTTCAGGGATGGCAAGAAGATTCATAGTCGTGCAGGGCTGAGGTGAAAACGAACATCTGGAAAACAGAACTATGCTTGTTTTCCAGATCCAGATCAGTCATGAAAGTCTACGCATGACGGAGTGGAATACTTACAGTTCGATGGGCAGGGTTATGTTTTAAGTGGGTGAAAATGTCTAGCCCCAAACCCTAAGAGTTATTTGAGATAGGATTGGAAATATAACCGCTTGGAGGTGACTAGTGGGGACCGCCATTGTGTGAGTCGCAGGGTTTCTTTATTTCTCTAGCCCATGTCTCGACTAACGTAGATGAACATACCCACAGACGATCCTGTGTAAAGTCGCACAAACTATTATTTTTGGACGGAGATTAGTAATAGTAGCAGCCACTACAAGTAGGGATTTTTCAAAAAACTGAGGGCATGTAGTAACCTCTCTTGGTGGGCTCGATTATACACCCTTGAGGCATGGAGCTATGGATGAACAACAACCAAAAACTAATCATACGATAAAGGCTACTTGAACATTCAATATGAAAGGCTGTTTGGGCTGAATACCCTGACGGTGAAGACAGAGAGGGAGAGAGACACAAACACACCTGAAAGAGAAGGGTTGTCCGTCAAGTTAGCCGAAGTCGACAAGGAGAGAGGATTACGCTGGGTCAGTTTCCCATCAATCGACACTTTAGACTGTTCTAACAGTGCTACGGCCTCAGCCAGTTGGGCCCGCAGTTTTCGAACGTCCATCACGGCACGCATGCGCTCGTTTTCGAATTTACTCTGTTGGTGACGCAGGGCGTCCACTGCAGCATCCATGTCACCATTCAGTTGGTCGACTTGTTGAAGTAGGGCCATGTTCCGCGCTGTTTGTTGGCGTCGGTATTCACTAAGGCGGGCGACACGCGCGAGCGCATTATGCAGACCTTCCAATAACT